AGTTACTGTTTGGAGTCAACCCCATTCATGACCATCACAGCTAACTCACATTAGAAAACATGAAAATGTCTTCATCTGAGTCATTTTTACAGGCACTGAACTAAAATATATTGTGGTAGTAGCTGAGAGTTATTTCCAGGACATACTCTGAGTTAGAGTTGCATTCGGGCATAAAAAAATCCGGCCCGAACCCATATAATTTTTTTCTCAGTCCGACACGAAACCGACCAATTAACTGTGATTACAGGCCCGAACCTGAAAAACCCCCGACATTTTTTATTAAGCTGTTATTTCTTTTGTAAGCAAATCAGTTTGACATGTTTTAAAATGTACCTCAAAGAAAGGAAGATATAACATTTCTTGTTTATTCACAAGAGTCAATGGATTATTATGGTTATTATTAGGTCTGTTGCGATAAACAATAAATCCATTAATCGCATGATAAATGAAAATTATCAACATTTTCATTTATCGGCTTAATTGTTTCTTCATTTCTCTCTCTTTCTACTGAAGACACTGGATGATAAAAGGCTCAACTCCAGTGTCTTCACTGACCCCTCCCTTTCTCTTATTTCTCTTTAAAATCTGTTTTAACTTTAAAAAATTGCGTTTTTGGATCGTTAAAAGCAGCTAAGCTGAGAAGCTAAGCTATGAGCTACGCTAACAGGCCGACCTCGGGGGGAAAAACCTCTGTCTTGTCGAAGCTCCAATATTCACAGTTGAAACCCGTTCCTTCGTGTAAAAAGTTGTTTTTCTCTGCAAAAAGAACCTGAGAACTTGTTTAGTGATTTTTTATTAAAAGCTTTGTGTGAAAAATGCTATGCTAAAGAGCTCAAACCACACCGAGCGTCCACCATTTTGAGAACCTAAGAGAGACAGCCCATGTCACGTCAAGGGGCCTCCCTCCCATTTTTCTTAAAGAGACGCTGCTCGCTCCCTCACTATCCATCCTTTGGTTCAAACAGTCTTATACTGCTATCCAGTGGTCAAAAAAGGTACTAC